CGGCGTCCTGCACGTCGCCGACGTCGGCCCCGGGCGGCGGGTTCTGCTTGCCAAGACCGACGCCACGGCGTCGCGGCACAACTGCCCCGCCCGCCCGGACCTCCTCCACGGCCTCCTCAAAGCCGCGGTGCGGCAGGTCGGGGCCGGGTCGGGCCTGGGGGTGTTCTACATCGGCCCGGCCGACGCCGCGCTTTGCGTCGCGTCGGCCGTCGCCCGCGCGAGCCCGCGGTCCTTCTCGGCGAAGGCCGGGCGGGGAAAGGCCGGCTACCTCGAGGCTGGGATGGCGATTCGGGTGTACTTGGAGTCCGCGCGCTGGACGCACGCCGCGCTGGGGATCGCCGCGGCCGCCGTTCAGCTTTGCCAGCGCCTCGTCGACGCCCCGACCAGCCTGCTGGACAGCTTCTCCTTCACCGAGATCGCCCTTCGTTGTGTGGAAAAACTGAAGGCGGCGGGCCACGACGTCGCCGCGGTCGTCTGCGCGGGCGAGGAGCTGCGCGCGCAGGGCTACGGCGGCCTCTACGGCACCGGCAAGGCCGCCGAATTCCCCCCCGCGATGGTCACGCTGTCCTACACGCCGAAGCCCGGGATCGCCCCGGTGGAGAAGGTCGCGCTGGTCGGAAAAGGGATCGTCTACGACACGGGCGGCCTGGCCTTGAAATCGCGGGATGGGATGGTCAGCATGAAGCACGATATGGGCGGGGCGGCGGCCATCTTCGCCGCCTTTCTCGCGATGGCGAAGTTGGGGCTGCCGCTTGAGGTGTCCTGTGTGATGTGCCTGGCCGACAACGCGGTCGGCCCTCGCTCGCAGCGCAATGACGACATCCTCCACCTCAAGTCCGGGCTTTCGATCGAGATCAACAACACCGACGCGGAGGGCCGGCTGGTGCTGTCGGACGGCGTCTACCACGCCAGCGCGGAGCTGCCGACCACCCCGGATATCATCGTCGACCTGGCGACCTTGACCGGCGCCCAGGGCATCGCGACAGGGGTCTACCACGCCGCCCTCTACGCCAATACCGAGGCCGGCGAGCGGCGCTTCCTGGACGGGGGCCGGCGCTGCGGGGATCTTTGCTTCCCCGTCGTGTATTGCCCCGAACTGCACAACCTGGAGTTCCACAGCAACGTCGCGGACTACCGCAATAGCGTCGCCAAGCGCGCCAACGCCCAGGTCAGCTGCGCGGCCCAGTTTATCGGGAATAACCTCGCGGGGGACTTCAAGGGGGAATGGGTCCACGTCGACCTGGCGGCCCCGGCCACCTACGACGAGGCCACCGGATTCGGCGTCGCGCTGCTGCTCGAGGTGTTCGGTCGGAAATAAGTCGTCGGCTCGATCGATCACGCGTTGGGGGGGTTCGTCCTTTCGCTCGGCGTTCGTGCGATGGGGCCAGCAAAGGGAGAAACTCGCAATGCGTCTGCCTAGAGGCATCATAGAATGAGTGGAAAGGAGAGAAAGACGTGTCCTTAGGCGGGATTAAAGGCAAATCCTTGGGTGGTGTTCCTTGGGTGATGCGATTTTAGACATGGTCATGTTGGCCTTTGGATGCCGAAAAGTAATTTTCAGCGTGATATTATTGCTGCTTTCTGGTGAGAATCGTTGTTTAAAATCTTATAGATGAAATAGGTAGTAAAGCATATAGATATATTTTTATTTAGTTATATTGGTATCGTCTCTTTTTATAAAACCCTTTTTTTCGTGTAGGAAGGCAAAGAGATATGAGTGTAAAAAGGAATTGTCGATATTTATCTACTGAAATGTATATCCCTCCCCACCCAAAAAAAAAAATAGTCGGAGGGGGGTGTGAAATCAGGTGTGGCTTTGTCCTTACACAAATCAGGATCGATGGTCTTATCGACTAAAGTGCGCTATGTATTCTTCCTATTGATTTATTCTTTCTTTTATGTCCCATTTTCCGCGAATAAGGTGTTTATTGCTTCTTTTGGTTTTGAAGGCAGAAACACCTTTTGGAAAGGTCTTCAAGAAGCTCTACATCTTACCGTAGTATTTACTGTCTTATCATTGTCCACCCATTCGCCGAGCTTTCTTCGGGTTATCGCACGACCAAACCCGACACGAACCGGCGATCCGAGCGACCACCCCCGACTCCCCATCCCGACTCGGAGCCTCCCGCGTTCTGGTCCGCGCCAAGGGCCTGCCTGAGCGCCGTAGCCGGACGTTTGTCGGGCCGAAGGGCGGCGGTTGTGAACCGAACCCCGCGCCGCGCGTGGGTCTTTTTTTTTCCCCCCGCCTCGTTCATTGATGTTCAAGCGCAGCGGGGCGACCACGCCGCACCCCGCCACCCCGCCGGGGGCTCGCGCCGGCGGCGCCGATCACGCCAACCAAATCGTCTTCTGCGTGAACCCGCTGCTTTTCGAGCACTGCGGCCTCCTGTTGAGCCCCCCGAGCGGGCTGACGACCGCCGCCATCATGAAGCTCCGGCCGGAAAGCGGCAACGCGACGTCGATCTCGCTCGCGAGTTGGAAGGAGATCGCGGTGGGGGTGCTGGGGCTGCCGGAGCTGACGGCCTACAGCCTCTTCGACGTCTTCTTCGCCGTCAGCGGGGGTTGCCTGCAGGGCAGCCCGTCCTACTACGGCAGCCACGCCGAGGCCAAGACCCTCGCGGAGTACCGCCAGGAGAGCAATCGGGTGCAGCTGGTTAAGATGGGCGGCGCCGTCGACGAGGCCCGCTGGCCGTTGATCTCCATCACCCGCATGGTCAGCCTGCCAGGGCTGATGTTGTTTCTTCTGACCCAACTTCTGCTCGAGCGCCCCCCGCGGCCGCCCTTGGGGGAGATCCCGCAGGAGGTCGTCTTCAACCACGTCCGGCAATACCTGCAGGACTACATCATCGCGGTCGCCGCCACCCGCTCGCGCCGCGTGACCATCGCCGACGCCCTGGAGCTTCGCTATCTGCTGCGCGAGTTCGTCGGGAGCGTGGAGCAGCCGTTCGGGACGAGCCTGGGCTTTCTCTGGCCGCGAAGTGAGAAGTCCATCGACATCGCGATCCTCTCGCAGTTCATTCGCCCTCGGCTGACCTACCCGAGCGCGATCAAGCCCGCGCCCGGGAACCCCGCGGTGCGGCCTTTCGCCCACAACGTCGTCCTCAAGAACGTGAACGACCGCGTGGTGTGCCCGAGCCCGCTTCTTGAGCTGGCGTTGTTGATGCTTTCCTCGACCTACGTCATCAAGGACTGCGCGCAGTCCTCGATCTACCTCCCCGCCGCGCTCCCGGCGACGCGGCTGACGAACCTGCGGAATTGCACGATCGCGCTCGGCCCGGTCAGCAGCGTGCTCTGCGTGGAGCACTGCCAGAACTGCCAGATCTCCGCCCTGTGCGGGGCCCTGATCGTCAGCCACTGCGCGGAGGTCACCCTCTTCGTCTGCACCAACACCCCGCCGCTGCTTATGCTGGAAAACGGCGGCCCCAACACGCTGCCGAATGTCTGTTTTGCCCCCTACAACTCGCACTACGCGACGCTGGAGAAGGATTTGGCCCTGACGGGGATTAATCCTTTGCTGAATTTGTGGAATGTGGGGTTGCCCTCCCGGCAGTACCTTCTGCCGCCGGAGAAGTTCACCCCGATCTGCTTCCCGACCGCCGCGCAGGCGAGTTTGGGGGCCCTCTCCACCCGCGCGAACCCGTGCGCGCTGCCGGAGCCCTACCTCAACGCCGTCAACCTCCGCCTGCAAAGCTTCCAGGACGTCTCGAACGACCTCCAAAAGGCGTACAAACACCTCGAGGAGGAGGGCCGCCAGGACCTGGCGGAGAGTCTGCGCAATCAAATCCAGGCCCTGTTTTTGGACTGGCTTCAACAAAGCGGCCAGAGCAGCAAGCTCGTCGACCTCCTCCACACCACGGCGCCGTCGCCGGGGAAGCCCTAAAGCGCAAGGCCCGGGGAAAAGAGAAAAATAGATAGAAAAAAAATACTCCCCAACATCAGCGAAGGGATAACAAAATATATTTTGTATTTTATATTATATAAAAAAAAGAAAAGAAAAAAGGGAGCCCTTTTGAACACAAAAAGCGTGTTGCTATGAAATAATTCGGGCATGTAGGGACGAGCACATAATCTTATTGACTCAATTAAGCTTTGGGGTTGCTTCTTTTGTGTTTTTATTGATAACGACAGCCTCCTCCTTTTTAGTTGTTTCAAAGTATGCTATTCAATCATCGAATACTATAAAACGAATCCGTGCAAGGATGCCGGCACGTTTTCAACCCCTTTTCCCGCCCACACCAAGCAACCAAACCCATATGCCGAACCCAACTCCACTTTATCTCCCCCCCCCCCCTCTAATCCCCTTATTTCATTGTATTTTCTTTTTTTTTTTTTGAATATAAATAACCCCCCGAAGGAACCAACCTGACAAAACTTTCTATTATTCACTACTTATAACACAATTGCGCGTTAGACGGGAAGACGACCCTCCCTCATCCCATCTAAAAGCGACTTGACACCGCCCGATTGGCCGATTCGCGCGCCGCCGTGCTTGGGCTTTTTTTCGACCTTCGACGCGACATGGGAAGTGGCCCGGACGGGGGGGCGACGGCGTCGCCGATGGGGCGGATCGCGCTGGAGGCCCAGCTCGTAAGCACCGCCCAGCACCACCTGCAGCGCCGCTTCCCCGCCCTGCGCCACCGGCGGGGGGAAGGGTGGGTGCAGTTCACCGCCCCCGCCCTCGACGACGCCCGCCGGCTCCAGGCCGAGGTTCAGCTGCTTTGCACGGCGCTGATTCGCGGCCAGACCGGCGGCCCGACGGCGCTGCGCCTCGCCGGCGAGCCCGCCGAGGCCGACTTCGCCGCGATCGCCGAGCGGGCCGTCGGGTTTGGCGAGTTCCTCCGCACCTCCGGCGACCTGCCGGAGCCGGGGAAGGGGCTGAACGACTTGGACGACCCCGCCTCCTCCACCGCGGCGGTCTTCCGCATGCTGGAGGTGCTCTATGAAGACCTCGTGATGGATATCCCGCAGGGCGTGCACGGGGTGCGGGACTTCCCCCCCGCCCTCTGCCCGACCGGCGCGCGCTTTGACGTCTTGTTGAAGCGCGTGATCGGCATCAAAGCCTTCTCCGCGGCCCCCCTCGACGCCGTGGTGGCCCCGCGGGCCCCGAGGACCCGGCGGGGTCCGGGAAAACGGCCCCCGAAGAGGAAGAGGGGGCGGCGTCGTTCGCGAAGATGCCGCTGAGCGTGGCGGCGCTGCCGACCGGGATGGGCTGCGTGATTTGGATGGACACCTCGGCCTTCGCGCAGGCCCTCGCGCCCTTCACCCACAACGCGAGCATCGAACGCGAGCTGCCGGCCGCCTGGCGGGCCAAAACCTTCGGCCTGTGGGAGGGCCACGAGGTCCTGCAGAAGGTCTACGCGGCGGCCAAACACTTCTGGTGCGCCCAGCCCCCATCCCAGCGAACGGAGCGGACGAAAATCAACGCCCTGACCCTTCTTTCCATCGCCTCCGCCGACTTGCGGGAGTACATCAAAGCGCAGATCACCCTGAACGCGGCGGATTGGCGTGGGGCGTGGCTGATGGATCGCGCCGAGCTCCGCGAGGCGGTCGAACTCTGCCAAGAATGGCGACGAATGGTGGAAAAATTGTTGACGGCGGACTGGGATCACTGGGATGGGGGCTCCTTTTAGGACGAGAGCTTCAACACCCTCGTGCGCCGCCTCGCGCAGGCCCTTCGAATCCGCGACGAGCTCGACCAGGCGATGGGGGTTTGGGGGTCCAAGAGCCTGCCGGAGAGTGTGCTGCCCCAGACCCTCTTCGAGAACGTCGATGCGTTGGATTTACGCCAGGACGACGCGGCCTGGGACGCCTGCGTGGCGGCCTACGATCGCGAGATGGGGTTTATCGAGCCGATGCTCTCCAGGAAGATCCGACTGCTTTTTCCCGCCCAGGGCCCCGCCACCGGCATCGGCCACCTCGCCCGGTGGTTGGCCCAGTTCGACGCCCTGCTGCGCCGGAATTTTATCTACAAATCGTTCGAGAAAAACATCGGCGAGGTCGCCCAGCGGTTTATCCAACACGTGGATCGCGTGCAATTGGGGTGGAAGGACTACGCGAGCCGGGCCGCCACGGATCTCGCAAGACTGCGCGGGATTAGCCGTTTCCATGCCGAGTGCTGCCGGGTGGCGGATCAGGCCTACGAACTTTTTAACTTCGGCGAGGACGCAGGCTCGCACCAAACGGCCATCGTCGAGCGCTGCCGGGTTGGCATGGAGGCGGTGAAGGAGAAGGAATGGTTGACTGTTTCGAACTGGTGCGAGGAGCTCGAGGAACGAGCAGAAAAAATGGCGAAAATCCAGAACACGATTACAATAGAAATGGGGTTTGGAAAGGCAGGAAAACCCCAAGAGGGGGGTTCGCCAATGTCAGCTGGGGATTTCCTCCGTTGTGAGGTCCATCCCCTCGTGAGGGCGCTCCTGCAGGAGGCGGCGGATTTTCAGACCTACACGGTGACCCCTCCCCCCCCTCTCTCAACCACGGCCGCGCTTTATACCAAACCCTACGCGGGCGCTAATCCCGTCCTGCCGGAGATTTCAGACGAGGTGCGGAATCATATTCGCGCCGCCGCCCAGCTGAACGCCTCGGCGATGCGAATGGTGCGCTCCACCGCGAATTTTAACACCGTCCTCCGGCAAATTATCCCCTCGACGCGGACGATGTTGGGGCCTTTAATCCAGCGCACCTTATTGCTGGTGCTCTTCGCCGATAACGAGCGCCGCGTGATTCCGTTTGCGAACCATCCCGAGCTCGAGGGGCTTTCCCTGAGTCTGCAAAACTCGACGGAGACCTTGAGCAAGGATAACGGGCATATTCGGCGCTTTTGCAGCAAGTTCCCAAGCCAAGTCAGCGCGCTGCAAAATGTGGATTTAATCGCGCATATGAGTCAATGGCGAACCGCGGTGGACGGCATGCGGGGCTCCTTTGACGAGTTTCTTTCGCAGCACTACTA